GCCCTGACTTAGATCAGCCCAGAGGTTGTTTCAGGGTTCAATCTGTGAGTTAGCCATGCCCTGACTTAGATCAGCCCAGAGGTTGTTTCAGGGTTTAATCTGTGAGTTAGCCGTGCCCTGACTTAGATCAGCCCAGAGGTTGTTTCAGGGTTTGATCTGTGGGTTAGCCATGCCCTGAGCTAGCTCAGAGGAAGTCGATTTTTACATTATCGATAACTTGTCAATTTAACTAATAGACATCCAAGTACTGAGATCCGGTAAGCAGTAGTTAATTGGAGTCGACCCATTAATTGAAAGTCTTCGAATATCTATGTCGACTCGTGTCTTACTGATCAGTTCACGTACGCGGTTATCAGATATTTGTTAGTGGTGTTCAGGGCTTTGTCCAACCCTTTTCTGATCACTACTGGAAATCGGTAGCGAATTCGCTGAGCCTTTACAACAAACAAGAGATACCAAGATCTTGAGATGTTCTCGATAATTTTTAGTGAAAATCAAATAAACAAAAATGTTATAAGAAGAACTCGAATAAGCAATGAATCTGGCAGCAAAGACAATGTTAGCTGCTGTAATAACTGGCAACGAGTCTAGTTCACCTAGTAGTCCCAGAAATAGAACAATATCGAGAAACAGCCAACTGAAGAAAAGAAGACAGACAATCACTATCGATAGTTTTAAGACTTTGTTGTTTTGACGCTGTCTTCTTGCCCTTGCTGCATCACCAACAACTCCTGGGCCTTTCTGGTTGCGTAGTTTGATGCATATCAGTACGTAAAGTACGGTGATGAAAGGAATCGGCAAACCATTGAGAAGTGAGAATAAAATAAACATTTGAATACGCATAGCTTCCATGTGAGGTACTCCTGCGGGTGACCAATCTTCTTGACAGATTTTGTGTCCTTTGCCGTTTACTATTCGGTATTTGTAGAGGTTGGGTGCGCCCATCATCAGAGCAAAGATCCAGATCCCTGGGATGATGTACTTCAACCTCGTCTTGCTAAAGCCGCGTTTTAGAGGATATACCACGGCGAAATACCGATCAATGGCGATGAAGATGCAGCTATAAATAGACACTACAACTGACACTTCTTGGAAAAAATGTACAAGTTTACACAGACCAAGTCCAAAGTCATTGTTCAATGGCTTTGATGTGTAAAGACAATACATATCTAAGACTTCTCCTTGAATAGTGAAGACTGGGACAAGAAGATCACTTACTGCCATGTTGGCCACCAAGATATTAGTCGTGTTACGAAGACGTTTGTCCCTATGGATGACCCAAACGATGAACGAGTTGCCGGCCACTGAGATGAGAAAGAGCAGTACGTAAGCTGTTGTTTTTGCGATCTTCTTGGAGAGAGCCTCATCTGACGTCTCAGGGAAGGTGCCATTCTTGTCCATTGTCTCCAGAGGACGAAAAACGTTTGAAACGTTGAATAACATATTAATAATACGGATACGATGAATCGTGAAAATGTCTCGTAAGAGGGCGATACTTGACGAATATTAGCTTAACTGAAGTGCTGCGGATGGATGCTGACGCCAATATGGTTGGGTGTAACTGTAGCCTGCGTTGCTTGGCGATCTGCGGTGTTGCGAAGGAGAAAGGGGGAAAGACCGCCCTTCAAAATGCATAAGTTATTATGTAATATATAAACATTAGTATTTTACTTAGAAATACACCACTCGTATTTTTCATATGAATACATCCGGGACCTCAATGACATACGGTATTTTCCATCTCACTAGTGAGGATATCGCGATAACGTCTTTTCCGATGTTTTCAACAAGTTTGTTTGTCAATGTGTCGATATAATAAAAAGAAAATCACACGTTGGTTTGAAGATATGAAGTTTATTTTCTCGTATTGAAAAATATTTCACTCGTTCGCTGTGAAATATTTTCACCACTCGAAGATAAAATTCGTATCTTCGCGCTACCGTGTAATATTACCTACTTATTTTTCAGTCAAAAAGTAATTATTTTGAGTCATATATCTTAAATGTTCTACACAGGAGAAGGCTACTAGGTTATTACTTAGACTAATAGATTATTACTAGCAGATCGTGTGGTGTAGTCAAGTACCTGACCAGTAATTGAACACTTAACAGTGAGAGAGTAAAACAGCGAAATAAATACACCAGTTTTGCTTTAAAAAATAATTAAAATTCCTATTTGTTATTATTATTTTATATACATGACAATGTTCTTGCAATTAGGTGTATATTTTATGGTATCACAAAAGAAAGAGCCCATCACTTTTTGTATAAGACATATGTCTCATGTCTGGTTTTCACCCACTTTGTGAAGTTCGTGATAGAATTGTTTGGCGAGTAAATTAAATAATGGTATATCAACGTCTTTATCTCTTATCGCCTACCCGAGTTTGACAAAGGATATTATTATATAGATATCGATGAAATATGAAGGTAGTCATGTCAACAGTGATATCTTCACATGTGACGGATATGATATCTTCACTGTGTAGAATGTACGATGGTTTAGGACACCGGGTAAGTCCTCGTATTTCGCTCATCGATATCTATATAATAAACAGAATATTACATGACCACTTGGAGATACAAATTTTATCTTCTCGTGTTGAATATCTCTCAGTCGTTCACTTCGTTCACTCGTGGGAGATACCATCAATAATAATACCCTTTGTCTCACTCGGGTAGGCGATAAGAGATAAAGGCGTTGATATACCATTATTTAATTTACTCGCCAAACAATTCTATCACGAACTTCACAAAGTGGGTGAAAACCAGACATGAGACATATGTCTTATACATAAAAGGTCTAATTACGCATAGCTTAGGTGCTTATAATACTCAGAATAATACTCAGGCAAACATGTAAACAGATTTTTATGATATGATTTTTGCATCCAGATAATTTTGTCAATGATCATATATTTTTGATTCTTCCAAGTGCATAAGTAGATTCGTATCTCTGAAGGATAAGCTGTAGACTGCTGTCTATGAACCAAGGAAACTGCAGCCAATAAGGTGGGCCAGGCTGACTACTTTAGAAAAAAGTAATTAGAAAACTTTGTAACAGGGCTATTTAATGCAGACTTTATCGCTTATTTAGAATAAAGAAAGAAAAGCGGGTGTACCGAGCTCGTTTTCGATATATTGAATATTTTGATGGTAATTCAGTGGTTTTGAGATCATTTTGTGCGCGCGCACAAATCGAACGTTCCAACTCGAGATGAAAAAAATATTTGCTTTCTTGATCATTTCCAATGCAATCGAGCAACAAAGCTTGGCAGCTGATATTTATTGTGGAAGGTGCGAGAAAAGAAATTATGCAGTATGCAAACACCAGCTTCGTTTTGTTCCTGGTGCTTGTTCTAAAGATGTGTTGATAATAGCGCATAGATTAGCTTAAAGCCTTCAAAAATATACGAGTGGCTTTTACCAGCAGTGGCTTTTGTCAGGTGCCAAATCTTCAGCTAAACTACGTAAGTGATTTGTTTTAATTTCAGGCAAATAGTTTAATACTACATGTTATTCTCTAAACAGAAACCAACTGATACTTTCATGTTGTTATGACTCCCATTCGTTCTCGTCAATATTTCAAGTAGGGTGTCATTTGACGGAAAGATACGAGGATTGTACCAGACCTGCGTATACAAACGTCATTAGAGAGTTTAAGCTTCTCGTTAACGGCAAACGTGAAACGTCAGTTGACCATTAAAAAATTCTTTAAAATTAGTGAAAAGGAATCGAAAAATTCTCCAAGTAGTAGATAAAAAGAATACTTGTCTTTGTTGGGAAGGTTTGCAAAAGGTAAAGTGAGATGTAGGGAAACGTGGTCACGTTTGCCGTTTGTCGGAATAAAGAGCGGGAATCTTAATCTACCTATTATTAGCTATTCCGAGGTGGAGGGGAAAACTGGATCGAGTTGGCATTGCAGTGCATTGTGGGGCTGTTTTGGAGGATACTTTTCCAAGATGGCAGCTATTTCGCCCCCTAAATCAGCCCAATGCACTACGACGCCAACTCGATCCAGTATTTTTGTCAAACTCGAAACAGCTAATAAACAGCGATATTATGGAGCGCTCCAGAAATATAAAGAAGCTTGGATATGAACAGCAACATCATTTTTATAACTTTTCTCGTGTTGTGTTATTCACTTGCAAAGTACAACCGCTTATCCCCCACTATACCCACCTAGGGAAGAGTGTGCTCTCATCCCGTGGGAGGGAGGGAGGGGTTGAGATAATCCTAATTCATATTAAAGAGTGACCTCCGTTATAAACTGGCTGACAATGCTCGATTCAACTATCTCAAAGTACAGATCGTACTGTTGATCAAGGCCCAAATAGCAGTCACTTATCAAGTACAGAGTATAGATCTTTCTTCCTTCGATCTCTGGTGTGTAGAAGGAGAGCGTGGCACGTGTAGAGCTGCGGATGTTGCCTATTCTCTTGAGAGCCAATAGTTCACCAGAATCTGTGTCTCCTAGCACCATCCACCATCCTTCACTCTTGGCTTTAGGGAAGTATGGAGCATGTGCTTTCAGCTCACTTCCCTGGAATTCAAAAATAATATAAAAATGTGTTACCAAGGCTGTGTTTCAAAGCCTCTTTGGCCGTTTCGATACTGTCATACACAGGTTCAAACTACCATTAGGTGTTTCAGTTGCGATACATCAGCCAGACGTTTGTTGTCCCTTCTCAACATTATCTTGAATACAAAAGGAATTCCACAAATTCCATTAATTAGCCTCGCATCCACGATACTTTTGAGAAGGATCTATCACTTCCATGCTCACCTTAAAACGATTCAATCGCTTTAACTCGATATTCAGCGAGTATTCCTGGTCAGCGTGCACTTTTGACCAGTTGTCATGACGACCTTCTAGCGTTTCAATGTCCAGCGGTCTTTCCTCTTGCTGAGCTCCATCACCGTCAGCCCAGGCCCCGCGCAGTTTTACTGATATTCCTACCACAGGTAGACGTTTGACTATATTCAATAACTGAAGAGAAAGAAGGTCAAGAACATTTAGAATGGCCCCCTTTACACAAAGCTTATGAAATCAGTCGTCAGAAGAAGGCACTGTTTCCTCATTTCAGACCACGTGTCATTCCCTAAAGTATTATTTCTTTGTTTAACGGTTGCACACGAGAAGACACATGAATATGGTTACAGCTCAAACAAAGAATCTATTCTCAAGAGAATGACACGTGGTCTCAAATTGGCAAAGTATTACGCCCAAGTGGATTTGTTCCATTGTTGGAGCACATTTGTAAGGTATGGTTATATAAGATACGTAGAATATGGATGCATGTCCAAGGGTAGGGGCAGAATTTCTATCATCAAGGGAGGGGAGGGTTAAAATATTTTACTGACATGTTCAATGTGGTTAGCACTGAACGATCCTCGTAACAACTTCGCCAACGCTTCGGGATCCGATCCCACGAAGTCCAAAAGTTCAGGAAGACTTTCTATTGGTTCTCTGCGAGGTCCTACGAAGAGGGGGAGGTGTTGGTCTGAAATTGACGGCAGTGTCATCAATGTAGAGTCTTGGAGCCAACGACCCTGGATAACCATCTGAACAATGTGCATGATACGAAGAGAAGTGGCGAGCCAACCTTCGTCTGCTGACAGGTCAATCATCGCCTAATAACATAAATGCACATTATTAATCTAATTATTAGTTTAATAATCTCATCCTAGTGTTACCCTCCTTAATTGTAAATAATAATAATAATAATAAAATATAAAAAATAAAATAAAATAAAATGAAATAAAATAAAATAAATCTCATCCTGGGAACAGTGCCACCTTCGCAGTACCCCAGTCCTGTGGATAAACTTTAAAATATGTTGCATAATGAATGGTAGTAGGGGAAAACACTTTTGTGAATCAGGAACTAGATTCAGCCATACCCGAGCAAACATACACCTAATTCAAAAAACGTTGTCATCGCCAAAGGCGATAGGCAATAGGAGATAGGCGAAAAGCGATAGGATATATGTCATTTCAAGATCCAAGAATAGATGGAATGACTTGTGTTTCTGCTTCTTATTGTCGTCAAGAACATGGACCTTAGTGCTGAGACTGATTCGATGTTCTTTGTATTCAACGAAACCATTTCCATGTTGGAATGACCTATCGCCTATCGCCTTTGGCGATGACAACGTTTTTTGAAATAGGTGTATACTTTTCTAGAAAATGGTCTTTGATTCAAAGAATTTCTGAACCCTTTGCCTGCTAAGTTGGCTCTTCTATTTGTTTCGAAAGTAAAAAAGAATACCATACTAAGCCAGAAGAGAATGAACCCCTTGAATTTCAAAGTATTACGTTTTTCATACAAACTTGTCGTATGGATTTTTGGCTTCGATTTTAAAAAACCTTGCAGACAAACAGAACAAACCTGCAGTATACGTATTGCTTGGTCCAAGACAGACTTTTGATCTGTGAGGAAGTCACTGATGGGTAGCCCTACCCGCGAGAAATGAGCCTGGAATAACAGGTTAGCCTTGGTGTGGGGATCGTCGAACGAGTGAGGTGGTACTTCTAATGGAAGATGTTCTGATAGTTCCCTAAAAATGATGACAATCATCGTCAATGCCATCATCAGCAACACTATCAGTCATTATCATCATCATCAGCAGCATCATGTATCATTGGCAGTATCATCATCACCATTATTATCACCATTATCATCATCACCATCAACTTCACTGCCACCATCTTCACCATCATCATCATTACCGCCAATATCACCATCATATCATCATCCGCATCACTACCACAGTGTCATCACTTGCTGTCACGCAAGTAACAAGATGTTTTCTCGAGCGCGTTTAATAAAGTACGTACTTGTTTAGTGCATCTTCATTGTGTCGTACTGGTAACTGTGTATATTCTTCTGCATCCTGCAAGAACACATACGAATTAAACCAAGACTTGTAATATCGTCCAGGGTAAATCATACATGATGATGGTCATTACCGCGAGTATCTTGAGCAGATCTGGCAGACTACAGTCAGCGTTCAACTCCTCACTGAACATGCGCATGGTCAGGTGACTGAGGTAATAGTAGGATGATATCTGTGCTGGGGTGGTAGGTGACAACGTCACATTGTCCTTAACAAAAACAACACAAGTTCAATTAAATGGGAAGTAGTAGTAGCTGTATTAACTGTCTCTTACTTGAATGGGCCTTACTCGTCTTGGTTGAAATGTTTTCCCATTTCAGACCATGTGTTATTCCCTAGATTATCATTTCTTTGTTTAACGGTTGCGCATGATAAGACACATGAATATGGATACAACTGAAACAAAGGATGACACGTGGTCTGAAAAGGGAAAACATTACGCCCAAGGTAAAGAGGTCTATTTTGAAAACTTCAAAAAAAATTTCTCTACCAGATGATCAGGATATAAGCAAAGCGATTAAACTGCATGGCTTTTCAAATAAACTGATTTTCCAATAACGTCATAAACACTACGCCTCTCGATAAACAAGAAACACTGCCCGTCAAGTGATATCAAGAGGTCTTCATGACGCATTACACCGAAAATGACGTCTAGTTCAGTCATCTCACACCGCACTACCTCCTCAATCTGTAAACAGCCACACGACTGTAGTTCTGAAGTAGCTTTCTCGACCAGTTCTGACAGAAATGCGTTGATGCTGTCGTGGTCGGTGTCTTGTAGATCGTAGTATGTTGGATTCATCACCAAGCGACGGAAGAAGTACGTCCAAGTCAGGTAATCCATGGCGTCTTGCTTGGAAGAGATCGTTCCTGCTACTATCTCGGCGTTCAAGTGCTCAGGCAATACTTCGAGTAAGCTGTGAATAAGATCAAATGATTCACTGTGAAGACTGACTCACATCACTTGGTCGTCAAAATACCTCGTTACCTTGTTTCCCCATTTCAGACCACGTGTCATTCCCTAGAGTATCATTTCTTTGTTTAAGGCTTGCGCTCGGTTGCACATGAGAAGACACATGAATATGGATACAACTCGAACAAGGAATCGTGTCATTCCCTTGAGTTTCGTTTCTTTGTTTAATGGTTGCACATGAGAAGACACATGAATATGGATACAACTCAAACAAAGAATATTATTCTCAAGGGAATGACACGTGCTTTGAAATGGGACAACATTACGCTCGAGCGCTCCAGAGCCGAGGAGGTCTATTTCACCCAAGGTAAAGGGGTCTACAGCTGATACAGTCGAGCTCTCGGACAAATATATTTTTGTTTTGTTTTGAAGTCATATAAGCCAGCTCTCAATGAATCGATGCGTTGCTGACCACCTTAATATCTGACATTGACTGACACCGTAGTTACAATACATCCACTTCAGAGCCTGAAATCATGTGGGTCAGCATGTTAACCCCAAGAAAAGAGATTTCCAACATCACAAACTCGGCCCAAATAACTTGGTAAAGTAAATAGAGATGTCCATCAGCTTACCTTGATTCCACGGGAAACGGTTCGTACAAAAACTTCTTATAGAAATGTTTCTTGATGTCGTGCACGAGTATGACCGCTGTACCTTGGTCGTCGAACTGCGGGCGTCCAGCTCGTCCCATCATCTGAAGCACGTCAGTGATGGGAAAATCTACATATCGACATGTCTTACCATCAAAGTACTCTGTGCCTTTGATTACTACTAGATGAGCTGGGAAGTTCACTCCCCAGGCTAGAGTACTTGTGGCGATCAGTATCTGAAAATATATCAGTAAACAAAGTTACGAGGTGCCTCCATGCTGGTCAAGCATGATTCTAGCATTGTGATTGGCCAGTAAACATTTTCAAACTCTGTGATTGGTTTTGGAGTGTCAAGGGAAAAAACCATGCACACTATCCAATCACAGAGCTTGTATATAGAAAAGCCATTTGGATGTCAAGATGCCATATTTTTTTCCTCTTTTACTCCGACGAAGGACTAGCGTCCAAAACGTCAGTAAGTTTTTTCATCCTTTCACGGTGTATAATCTACCTTTTTTATCATTACTGTTTCATTAGAAACACCGACACAGCTCACACTAGTTTTTAGCTAGTTATATCTTCTATTTTTTACCAGTTTGGTAATGAAGACATTTTCAAATCGCTATATCATTTCAAAGTACCTGTATTTTCTGATTAACGAAGAGTTCCTCGATAGTCTTGCGGTCGTGCTCGTGTAGACCAGCGTGATGCAGACCGATGCCAAATGACAGAGTCAACTTGAGGTTATTGTCGTGGATTGAACGAAGAATGAAGTCCATCTGAGAAGCATAATAAACAAGACAAATAAGCCTCACGTTTTATGTGTCGTTCTCTCCCTTACCACGAGGGTTTTCTCCGGGATCTCCGGTTTTCTCCCTCCGTAAAAAGCAACATGTGAGTTGAGTGTTGTATGTTGTAAATATAGAATGTAGGGGTAGTGCGTGTGGAGGGAAACTCACGGAAGAGTCCCGTACGTACGGGGAGGGGTGGATGTAAAATATAAGTATTTTTAATCACGACCCGGAATTACGAAGATCATAAAAATTAGGAAGGGGATCACGATTAAGTGCGATATGAATCAAGGTGACTTAGGTAATCACATCCTACAATGGTCCTCTATCTCTAGAGCGCACTCAACCTTGCGAACAAAGGTCCCCTTTATAAGGGACGGACCATTAGATAGCTGACGGGGGGGTTGCGTAAATCCCCCAAAAAAATATCGAGCAAGCACTTAAAACCTCAAAAAAAAATATCGCGCAACCTCTTCTGCTAGAAGAAAAATATCTAACTGTAAGCAAAAAAATAACGTGCAAACCTCCATCAATTATCTAATGGTTCATCCCTTAATGCTATGCGAGTATCCCCCAATGCTAGCAAACCGTAGTTTTCTCACCTCTTCTTCTGGCATGTGCAGCCATTGTTTGGGGTTATCTTCAGCAGCAAGAAAAGCTATCAAGTCAAGAGCTGTCAACCTTGTTTGACGTCTGGATGACACGAAGACGAGGACAGGTTTATCAGGAGAATGGGTCAGAATGGCTTTGAATGTTGGTTTGTTCATGGTGGCCATACGAGGGCAGTAGTGCTTGCCGGGAAATCCCGTGATGTGGACCTCGAGGGGGACTGGGCGCACAGATGGACGGAAGTTGAACATACCAGCCTGGATAAGAAGAAAACCCTTCAATAGATGGGTTTCGAGGCAGCCATGATGCAGGGCAGGAACAATGCAATCGAGAAAAAAAAGGTTTTCTATAAAGAACAATACCCAATCTAGTACCCAGGGCCTTTAGTTCATACTGCGCATGTTTCATCGAGCAAAGAGGTCAATGAAAGTCAAAAAATCAAAATAAGAATGGCTCTTATTTCGGTTCCAGATTCAAGATCAACTCAGCATGACCGTTTCGGGTAAAAATAAAAAGAAAGCTCACCGTTCCGATATCCAACCAGTCAGCCAGATCTTGTGCATTAGCCAGTGCAGTCGACAAACCAACAACCCTGACTTTATTCTCCGTGTGAGACGAGATAAAGTTACTTCTAGACACGATGACCTCCAACACAGGACCACGGTCATCACCAAGGAGATGAATCTCATCGATAACCAACAGTTTGACAGCCCTGACGTAATTCCTGGTCTGCCAGCTACGGCTGATACCGTCCCATTTCTCGGGTGTGGTTACTATGACGTCAGCTTGGCTGATGGAGCGAGCGTCAGGAGCAACGTCACCCGTCAGTTCGATTACTCTGAAACATGACACGTGATAACGATGAAAAACTTGTGTTAAGGTACTAGAAATCTTAGTTCAAATATGTATATATAAATACCTTTTGCCCAACTTCTGGCCAAAGCGCACTTTCCAGTCCTCGATTCGTTCACGTACCAGTGCCTTCAACGGTGCAATGTAGACAGTCTGACAAAGAAAGGTTATTGGTTCTTTGTATGTGTTCTCTATCATATCTAACAACCCGCTTACTCCTTTTAGATGCAATATCACGATAAATCAAGAAAGAATTCTCAATTTCGTCACCATAAGAGATTGATCCACATGATTGGTTGTCGCAAGTAGCCAATGAAACTTCAGTCTACTGTGAGAAGTACATCTCCCCAGTTAGTAAAGTATTAATCTTTGAATATTTACATACCTTGGATCCTGGGTATTTCTCAAAAACTCTAAATATCGCTAGTTCTGCCACAGCTGTCTTTCCCGATCCTGTTGGTGCACCAAGAAGAACGTTGTGGTCTGTATTGTACACAGTATGGAATACCTGAATCGTTATCAAACACAACGGTCAACTAAAACAGCAATGCGACTGATAACAGCTATTCCGCACAAGGGCGTTAGAAATGCAAATGTACACTGTTAGAGCTTAGGGATGCAAATGAGCAAAACGCGCACGCAATGTATTGATCTGTATTGATCTGTATTGACCTGTATTGATCTGTATTGATCTGTATTGATCTGTATTGATCTGTATTGATCTGTATTGATCTGTATTGATCTGTATTGATCTGTATTGATCTGTATTGATCTGTANTATTGATCTGTATTGATCTGTATTGATCTGTATTGATCTGTATTGATCTGTATTGATCTGTATTGATCTGTATTGATCTGTATTGATCTGTATTGTATAGTAATTCATTCATATCAAGCTTTACTCTATATGTTAGTGTCGAAGTTGGAGTAGAGAAAGCTCACTCCATATATGGTATGATCAATTCCATATTTGGATTGTGCGGAACTCGTGGTTCTGCCTCGCAGACAACAGACACAGGGAAATACGACACTCAATGTTTGATATGACTGAGGCGAGAAACTGACGGGCAGTGTACAGTATTACATACCTGAGTCTGTACTGGGTTAAAGTGCGTAAACTTATACAACATCTGATAACTGACATTGTTTAACGCACTGACGGGTAGTGGTTGTAAATCGAGTAGTTCTGTGTGAGGGGGGTGCTTCTCTGGTAGAATCAAATGTTGGAAGGAGATGGCACAAACAGTTTCTGCGGCCAGCCAGCGGTCTGAAACAGCGTGGACGTAGTACTGCGGGGGGAGGGGTTCGATGATTGGTATGGTAAACACGAGGCTTAGATCCTCCTCTGAAAGTACCTGTGAAGAATAATCATTCATTATTGTTAATGGCTCAAGTTTCGCGTTCTGCCCGTCATTTGCAAAGGGTCATGTTATAGCTCAGTGTCACGTGATACAGACCTGTTTCTTGTGCAGAAGGAAGTATTCAGAATGATAAATATGTTGACGATCAGGATCCTCGACCCAGATCCACCACGGCTCAGTATTACCGTGAAGCTTATCGTTCCATTCAAACTCGGCCCGAATGGTAAGGCGCACGCGCAGTACAGTCCTCGTGATTGGTTGGATACTTGCTGCTATGGAAATCGATGGAAACCGCTTTACACAAGACTTTATGGTTTGACCCATACGAACATGATGGACGAGGTGGCCTGGTAAGAGGAAAAGAGAGAGGTTACAAAGCAGGCCATCTTGAAAAGTAGCCGTGCCTTTGCATCGAAGCGAGACGAACGTTGAGCTTGCAATGATAGATACCTTTTTTAACACCTTGAACAATTATTCACGTCTCTATCATTGCAAGCTCACCGTTCGTCTTGCTTCGATGCAAAGGCACGGCTACCTTTCAAGATGGCGCAGGGAACTGTAAAGGGGACTATTATCAACGGTTTTCTTACCTATGTCATCAGCTCTCATGTCTCTTAATATCGGTATTGTAGCTCGCCTTGCCTCCAGTTTATTCAGTATTTCAGGCCCAAGTATCGTGAACTGTCTGAGCGGGTTGTCTTCGTGCCAGAGCCTTTTGTCTATAGTTTTACTCAGAGTGAGTAACCGTACGGCTAATGTTGGGTAGCCTTTACGAAGAGCAATGTCGAACAGACCTCGGACCAGACGACCACAGTTCTACAATTAGATTGAAAAATCATAATTACCTTCTACACAACGGATTCTCATTTCATACCACGTGTTATTGTCTTGAGAATGAGATTTTTTGTTTTAGTTGTATCCACATTCATGTGTCTTCTCATGTGCAGCCGTTGAACAAAGAAGCGATACTCTTTTAGGGGACAACTCAGAAGTCACACAATGGAAAAAAGTCACACAATGCACTGCAATACCAACTCGACCCAGTCTATTTTATCACCTCGGAATGGCTGATAGTCGTAAGAAAGATAGTAAGTATGATAATCAATTAATAAGAGTTGAATCGATCCTCATCATTAAGTACAGAGACTAATGTAATGAGGTATTTGAAGGGATGAAGTACTTTACCTGTGCTACATATGCGAGATCAGAAACAAGAGAGAAAGACTCCACGTGACCACGGCTAATGTACGTCTGAAGCAATATGTTCACCTTGCCATACGAGTTCTCTACCCCTCCCTTGACGGGATGGACTAAACAGTCTTCGTGTAGATGCTCCTCAAGTTCGGCCATCTCGTCCTCTCGCACCTGCGAACGATTCAGACATTACACAGTGGAACATTAGTAGATTAATGGATCAGCAGTGGGTTAGTAATGGATGACTAAAGATCTTACATGGATCACAGATAGATCATACTATCAATAACATTACTTATGGGATAATGGAAGATCTTCCATAGCTGGATCATGGATAGACCATCAGAAGTAATAACAGACCAGATGACATTGGATCACCAATAGATCTTTGTTGGATCAATAATGGATCATGATTGGATTATTAGTGGATTATCAGTGAATCATCAGCAAGAGTACACATTCTTACCTTCACTTGTTCGAACTCCAAAGAATGTGACAACATCTCTAGGATTTCTGGAAGCGTCAAGTTGGGTCCAAAACGTTCGTTAAACGTCTAAGGGGAAAGGAACGTGCGAAAATAAAAGCGTTTTCCACCATAAATGGATGACAAGTGATACTCAGACAGAAAAACAGATAGTTGGATGACAGATGGACAGATGGACGGCAGACAGACAGATGATAAACGAGGGATAGATGACAGATAAACTGATGACAGATAGGCAGAAACAGAGGGACAGACACCTCATTGTCAGCGGAACAGGATGACTGTCCCATTATTGACATTAATTTTCCATTTTTCGAGATGTGATTTCTCCATGTCAAAGAGTATTTTGAGCCATAAATGTAACAATCAGTACAGCAGGGTTTATTTACCTCGATGGTTTCACACTTGATGTAAAAATGACTTGACGTTCTTCCCAGATCGGTAGGAGACAGGTAACCTTGTTTCTCCGTGTATCGTATCATCTGCGCCTTGTCCAGCTTACGTGCAGACTCCACCACGAGTTTTCTGCGGTAATTCTCCAATAGAGGATCGTCCTGTATGAGGATACAAACAAACACCTAAGGTCTATATCCATCTATCCAGTGAGAACTTGGGGCAGTTGTGTGCGGTGGCCACGTGCCAATACAAACGTGAAGTACAGTTATGACTTTTTTACATGGTGTTCAAGTTTCTTTCTTATTCTCGTTTGCCACCATAACACACACCCAGGGTTCGTGCTGAGGTAACCACTTAAAATTCAAGGACCCAAAAATGAATTTTCAAGGAGTATGTTCAGCTAAATATGCCAAGGTTTTACACGGTGGTTGCACATGGCCGACTTTCAGATTTTCCAATCTTGCTGACTAGATCTATTTCAGAACCATGCAAGTAATGATCAAAGCAAAAATTCAAGGAGTTTTCAAGGAGTTTCGCTAAAATCGTAAAATACAAGAGCTTTTCAAGTCCCTTAAAACTTGAATTAGATTCAAGGAGTTTTCAAGGAGTTTAAGGAGTAGCACGAACCCTGACACCTATAGACACTACTGAAAAACAACACCACTTCACATCTACCTTCAATCTCCCTTTAACTCACCTACAATCCACTCCTGACGACTCCATTCCTCTCCTTTTCTTATACCATGAATACGAAAGGCTTACAACATAATCATTTACTGACCTCTTTCTCTTTGTAGGATATCCCATACACTAATGGGTTTACAGTCATGCGGATGTACAAGTACGAGTAGCTTAACCACTTCACTGCTTCATCGATGGTGGTGACCGTACCCAGTGTGATCTGATAGAAATATATACAGTGTTAGTAGCGAGAACATGAGTCCACAATCTGGTGAAGGATTTACCAGATATTTACCCTTTTCCCTCTCTACACTTTCCGTAGTCCAGGAATGTCAACATGCAGTTTTCAATACTGGAGAAATTTACAGACGAATATGTTAAGGGAAACTGCAGCTTTCGTTTTGTTAAAGAATATGGATAGATTACGAGAATGGTTCGGTAGGCTTACATACCATAGATAAAGAACCTGGTCAATCAAATATTTTGAAATGAGGAAACAAGAAATAACAGACAGCCATGGAAGGCGTAATTTACTAAAAATGAAACTAATAATAAATTTCTTGCAGGAGACGTGACGTGATGGTACCAAGGTGAACAATAGCTTTGGACATACCTCAGCATTCAAGCTGTCTGCCAGACTCGCGGTGAGAGTACTTTCAATGGGTGTCTGTCTGGTCAGCAGCGACAGATAATGGGTGAGTCTATCGTGTGTCGTGATGATGGTTCCTTCACCAAACTTGTCATACTGTGGGCGCCCTGCACGACCAAAGATCTGTAACACATCTAGTATACCAATATCCACGAATGAACCCTTCTTTGCGTCATACACTTGGGTACCCTGTGGTAAGAATGGTAATAAATTCACGTATTCAACCAATACCTTTGTAGTACCCAAGCCATAAACGCTAAAAGGCCAGGCTATAAAGCCTTCTCAATCCCAAGCCTCCCAAACTTCGAGATGGCCAGGCTACAGGGCCCGGTTGTACGAAGCCTGCATAGCGCTATCCAACGGATAAATCTTATCCAGTGGATAAATTTATTGGAAAGCAGCATCGACTTGTCCACTGGATAAGGATTTATCCGCCGGATAGCGCTATCCAGGCTTCGTACAAGTCCCCAAGCCTCAAAGATGGCCAGGCTACATAGGCTTTTTCTATTCCCAAGCCTCCCAATCCCTTAGAAGGCCAGGCTTCATTGGCTTACCTTGATGACGACAGCGTGTGCAGGAAGGTTGACTCCCCAAGCAAGCGTAGCAGTACACACCAACACTTTTATCAAGCCTTTCGAGAAAAGCTGTTCTACTAAAGTACGATCTTGTCTCAGCATACCAGCGTGGTGTGTGCTGAACCCATCAGGAAACAGATCACGAAGAGGCTTGTTCCTGGACTTCGTCACCTAGTAATCATGGCATAATACATCATCAGTAACCATGGCAACATACATCCTCAGTAACCATGGCAACATACATCCTCAGTAACCATGGCAACATACATCAGTAACCATGGCAACATACATCAGTAACCATAACAACATACCTCAGTAACCATAACAACATACCTCAGTAACCATGGCAACATCCATCAGTAACCATGGCAACACATCAGTAACCATGGCAAAATACATCAGTAACCATGGCAAGATATATCAGTAACCATGGCAAGATATATCAATACTATCTTTCAAACTATTATCAAAAGATAAAGCCAGACAAATTGGTAACAAGTTTTAACTCAAAATTAAATTTGTCCTTGTGGCGATTTAGGTGTTCAATCCCTAAGATCGGCAGTTGCTGGGATACATTGTACGAGAATTGGTCTACCTGTGGTTGTGACGTACCTGTTTTTCAGCAGCACCAAACTGAGGGTCTTGATCAGCTCTAAAGCACTTAGAATCACCATGATTGTTTGCTAGTTCTCGTAACACCATGGCTGTCTTGACTGTAGCGTTTCTCGCATGCACGAAAACCATTACCTGAAAAGAAAAATCTTTCGTTCATGAGCACGTGAGCCTAATGAAGATACAATGGGCAAGATTCGGGACTCTGCGCGCATAACCAAAAGTGTAAATTATGCCTATCATTACTTAAGGGGCTCAACATTCCCACAGGTACTTTACCCCACAAAACCGCTTGCACTGCAATGCCAACTTGAACCAGCTTTTTCCTCAACTTTGTAATGGCTAATAGAATTCAGATTTTGTTTCATATCATACCTGGTGACCCTTCTCGACGTTCTCAAGTACTTTATCATAACATACTTTGTCCATCTCATTAGCGACCTGGTAACTACTCGTTCCTTTGACACCAATGAATGTCTGTCCGAGAGGAACTGGACGGAATCTGCCATCAAAGACGAAGAGGCCTTCATAAGGACTGACGCGAAGGAAACAAGCCACGTCCATGAAGTTAGGTAAAGTAGCCGAGAGACCAACTATACGAATCATGCTCTGGGATGTCTCAACCTGTAGGTGCAATGAAATTTATCACTCGTGAGAATTATTTTTTATACACGAGATGGCGTTAGAGTAGTCAGCCTTACATCCTTCCCACTTCCTTCCTTCCTTCCTTCCTCCCCTCTCATTCCTTGCCCCTTGCCATTTTGAAGAGGCTTGAATACCTTACAGGTGACCTCACACCACAATGAGTAAACAAATAGTGACCTTAGCATAGTAGCTAGGCATAACCAAAGCACTGACCTGCCTCAAGGTTCTAGCCACCAAGCACTCTATAACAGAGCCTCGATCATCGTGCAGCAAATGAACTTCATCAATGATGAGTAGTTTAACCAGCTGTGCCAGGGCCACGTCACCAGTGCTCTTTCGCGTTACCACGTCCCATTTCTCAGGCGTGGTCACTAACATCTGAAATGCAGAAAATAATTATTTTCACAGACTGGTCATTTTGATTGACAGGTCCTGCCATGCCGGCAAATTTAAATAACATAAGTATTGTTATAAGAGAAAGGTTTCACCTGAAAATAATTTTAAACGACGAAAAAGGAAAACATGACTGAGTAAGTATGTTTTTCTAGTAAATATAGAGGCTTTGCACCATCACATGATGGCAGCCATGACAGGAATGAACAACTGATCTCGTCTAATCTGATTTACATGAGAAACAGTTCAGTTTCCCTGGGGAAAAAAGACTATTGTTGTGCGTCATGTCATGGCTGCCATCACATGATGGTGCAAAGCCTCTATGTAACCGTATTTCTATTTCGATGAGATTGTATAAAAATCGTACAGGTGCAAGATCACTGCGCTTGCATGCTATATTCAAGATACATATTGATGACATCTATTGCGTTTATCCAGTCAAAGCAAGTGATATCATTGTTAATCCTATCACATTCTTGTACATGGCACAGATTCAATGGCATGTCACATCACAGTCACTCACCTGTGTCTTGTGTATCTCAGCCTTGGTCAGTTGCATGTCGCCAGTCAACTCACGTACAGAGATGCCAAGTGGAGAGAGTCTTCTACCAAAATTACGTACCATTTCAGCTGCTAAAGCTTTCATGGGCGCCACATAAACTATCTGGAAAAAGGAGGTAAGCCATCAAGATATTTCTGGAGTGCATGTGACATCATAGCCGCCATTTTGGTTGACTTGGACAAAAGATTTTGTTCTGGTCTCTTTTGTCATGTCAACCAACATGGTGGCCACGTGTCTTGGAAGGGATGCACACCACCAATACATGTTTAAGACATTGAAAGAACTCAAAAGATAAATCACCTTGAACTTGTCTTTCCTTATGACTCCTTGTTCGATGTTCTGTTTGATTTCCCTGACGATTGTCATCATAGCAATGTTGGTCTTCCCTGCACCTGTAGGTGCGCAGATCAACAGATTCTCATTAGTATTGTATGCACTGTCATAAACGATAGACTGAATTCTGTTGAGGCTTTTCATTCCTTTGAATGCCGCCTGGCCGATCTGGGGGAAAACAAATAAGGAGCTGTGTTAAAAGACCTTAGGATGACACAGTGACTATGAAATAAGAAAAAAGAAACATGATTGAAGTTGTAGTGGAAAGAAAGCCAGGAATTCTAAGGTAGAAGGAAATAAATAAAAATAGGGAGAAAAGAAAATTTGGACGAAAAACTTAAGTTTGAACAACTAAAAAAAGAAGCCAGATGGATAACTGTGAAGCTTTGTGGAAAAAAAACGACAAGAAGAGTTCATGTTCACCTCATCGAGTTCACTAATTGGTACCAGTCTCTCTCCAGCAACCACTGCTACATTCTGGGAATGAGGAATAGACACCTCTTCATATGTTTTGGTTATCTTACGCTTTGCAGTGGTTGGCAAACAAATCTGAAAAGAAAACATCAACCTTATGAGTACCTACCAGCTGTTTTATATTTGGGAAATCAAGAGAGGCATAGTGGTAGTACACCCGTCTCTTGCCTCTTGTGTCTCGGGTCCCATTCCTGGACTTGGCATCAAATGTGAGTGGAGTTTGTTAGGTCTCTATCTCAATTCAAGGGTTTTTCTCTGGGTTCTCTGGTTTTCCTCCCTCAACAAAATCTAACATGCCAAATTCAAATTCAATCTGTGCCCTGACTTAGTTCAGACAAGACTTTGTTTCATGTGTGAGTTAGCCCTTCCAGTGTTGATAAAATTTGAAGTTTTTTTACTGTCACCTGTCTGAAGCTCATATCATTACCTTGGTACCAGCCACAAAACCAAATGCAGCTTGTGCATTGTGAGCTTCATCATAGACATGGGGGTATATTTCCCGTGGTCTTGTTTGTCTCTCTGTCTTGCTAAATAATGATTTAGAGGAAGCATGGAATAAAGCAGATTCCCTGTTGACAAAAAGTCAAATGGTGTCAAACTATGGTGGTGGGAAAATGTTGCATTTTCTTGCTTTAAAATGTACTGATATGACTTCCAGTCTTGGTCTGGTTTCATTCACTATCAAATAAATGATTATTATTGTATACTGTTATTCTCACCTTTGAGCTGCAAGCATTTCAGGATCAAATCCCAATTCCTTGAGGTAAGTTTCTTGATCCACACCATCATCGCCATCCCCCTTGTCACGACGAGCTTGTCGTCTTCCCTCTTTTCTTGCTTGTTTCATTAACAACTTTTCTTCTTCAGACTGTGAGAAATTATTGCACAGAACAAAACAGGTTGACAGGAGTTAGTCTGTGTGGTCACATTAATTGATTAGATAGAGAATGGGATAGAGAATGAACTGACCCTCTTGCAGCATCTCTTTCCAGTAATCCTAAATCACTGTGTCATGAATATACAGTACATGGCTATCATAAGTTGGAAACTCAGAAACTAACAGGCAAATACGTAGCTCATAATTTGAAAGTTTAATTCAAATGAAAAATAAAAATGTATCAAAACCTGAATGACAACTTGACATCCATATTTAGGTTGACTTTGGTCTGGTCTTGTGCTGGTGTTCTTGCTTCTTTTGATATATTCTGCAACACACATCAAAAATTATGTTTGTCACAGCCAAACAACAGAAAAGTTAGTGGGCCAGATGACTTATTCCAAGACCTATTAAATGACTGTTTTTTCTACATAAACTTAGAATTTTATTCTATAATTATGCTAATAAAAGACAATGGTCATGGTGGAGCAAAAAACTGCCATTATTAGCATGACTCTTGATTATTACTTTTTGCATATTATTTGTAACATTTCTCAATTTTTGAAACAACATATCTCCTTCAGGCTCTAAATACTTACTTCGTAACAAAACAAAAAAATAGAAAAAGAACACATAAACATTTGATACTTTCTTGTGCGAACTAACAATGTACCTTTTCCTTGACCTACTGATTCATGTCCTCCATCTAGGATTGATGTCACAATATTGTATCTTTCCTGAAGTATCTTTGATATCAAATCAATAGCATCAAAACCAAGAAGTTCTAGAAGGTCATTCTGGATTGCTTCATTGTTTCTTTCAGAGCTCAGCATTTCAAACAAGGCAGAAAACAAATCTTCCGCATTCAGTCCTCCTTCGGTTGACACTGAATGCTTTTGACATTCCTCCATTAACCATGATTGATTTACTGAACTATGACTAGATTGGTCTGTCTTCTCCTCTTTCTTCTTGGAGCTTTGTTCGTGATTTATCCGTAAAAAAGTATCAAGCACTGATTCTCCTTCCTCATCTGAACTAGAACTCCATTCTTCCTCTCCTTCTCTTTGTCTTATTTCAGGCTGGAAAAAAGGTATTCCTTCTCCAAATTCAGCCAGTTGTTCATTATTTTCTTTTGATTTTTTGTTTCTCAAAATTTGAGCTAACTTTTCAGAGGAAATTAAATGGTAAATTGACTGAATGATATGACAAAGTTTAGTGCCTGATGAAGCAGGGAAAGCACCAAATAACGATCTTATTTTTGCACTTTCTGTTTGACTTAATTGTTCGCAGCCTTTGAGGATATCAAAAAGTGACACTGCAGCTTCTTGTAGAGCTTCTATATCGGCTTCAGCACCATCTGAAAAATATCAATAACAAAACCCCTTATTATCGATATATGACTTCTTGGACTCAGAGCAAAAATTCTAGATTGTGCAAGATATTTCAACTGCATCCAACAGCCTTCATCAGCTCAAAACCAATGGTTATTTCAAAAAAAAAAAAATTAGTCAAGAGCTTAATAAAATAATTTATTATATAATTACCAATGAAATAACTATTTTTCTCTATTTCGAAAAATTGATATCTTCACACATGAAAATAACATGTTATTTTCACGAGTGAAGATAACACCATTGTGATGGCTATTCAAAAATACATGGAAAGAATTGCCTGAAAAAGCCAAAACATACTTCATTGATAATTATATGATAAACAGAATATAACATGGCCACTTGGAGATACGAATTTTATCTTCTCATGTTGAAAATCTCTCACGAGTGAGTGTAGCAAAGAGATCTTTTCAACACTCGAAGATAAAATTTGTATCTCTGCGCGCACATGTAATATCCTCTATTCATCAAACGAAAAATAAATGAATAAGAAATGAATAAGATGAATGAAGAGAAGTGAGAAATATATAGATGAATGGATAATTGAGTGAGTGGGCATGTAAAGAAGAAGATGAGTTAATAAGATAGCAACTTCACATAAATATGCTTTGTATATCAAAATATCCCAGTGATGTAACAAAAGAATTTGTGAATAAGCCACTCACATATTTCTTTGGTTGTCTGAAGAAGTTCTCGTAACAGTATCTTAACCTAGATGTGTTAAATAATAAACAAATAATAATAATAAATTAAATAAATAGATGAATAAATATAGTTTTTACTAAAAATATAATAAATGTAATCGATTCCATTATTTTGCTTTCTGACAATAATGAAAAGTAATTCTAAGAAAATTCCAAATTGAATTCTAATTCAAGTACAGTTCAAGAGCCATAACATAAATCAAGATCAGTATTTCAATATAAAGACTAACCTCTGTTTTAGCATTGCTATCATCAACGATACAATCATGTATAGCAGTTTTTAGTTCCGTCCAATTCAATTCTCCTTCGCGTTGTTTCTTCGCTCTGATCTTTCGTTTCCTCACCAATTCATGGCCCTCGCTATCTGTAACATGGCTCGATAAAGATAAGCCTGAAAATGCTCTTAATGATCCAGTTAACCGAGGGATTTCTAATACATTCATTTCAGAAATAAGAACACAAATTGCACCACTGGTTACGACTACCGGCAGGCGTTCCTTGATTGAAACCGTGCACCTGGTGACTGATGTATATCCCATGAATCCTTGCGTACTTAAAAGGACCCGTAACTCGTCCCGCAACCCGTCCCGTAACCCAGGGCTACGGGAACGGTATTGTATAATCCAAGAGCCAACGTGAATACAAAATACATAGAATGGTTTTTTCCCTTAAAATAACTATTCGTAAGGTATAATATCTTATCTTTTTGAATACTTATTTGAGTTCGGGATTATCGTTTTACTCTAGAGACTACAGTCGTAATGAATGGAAAAATGAAAAAGGTTCTGGTTAAGAGGTTTAGGTATTAAATATCAAAAACAAACAAGCGCAATCGCAAGATGTCGGCAAACAAAAGGATAACACATTGATTCGCTGTGTTCGCTCATTCAACCATCACTACCGATCAATCATGTTTCTCATTTCCTATTTTGAGTTCTTCCTTCCTTTCGGCTTTCCGCCGTATCGTCGTGGTTGGTTAAAAATGGTATAACTATTTGAATAGGTGGCGCAAAATAACGGGATTGTTAGATACGTGACCGAATAATAAGATGTCAGTCGGTTTGTGTGAAAACAGTGTACTGTTCGCAGGGATTTTACGTGGTACGTGTGAACCGTGTGTGCCGTGTGTTGTGAGTCCTTGAGGGACGAACCGCTAACACGCTACCTGACTGACTCGTTAAGATAAAAATATTCAGGAAATAAAAAAAATAACTATGTAAGAATCATGATAACCTGTGACTAATTACAGTTACCTTTTGAATGGTGATAATTAGCAATTTCATATGAACGAAAGACATGAAATGCTATTTCATTTTTAAATGTTCGTATTAGTACGTGTAAAAAAAATTCGTGAAAAAGACTAATGTTTCGTGACTCTTGGTTAACATTATGAGAGTCACCGGTATCATTCATGTACTTTTTCTTTTGTAAACTATTGAAAATAGATCACGTTTTGCTTTACTTCCGTGGTTTTCACTAAGGATACGGTCACGATTGATTCATTTCCGGTGCGTCATCGGAACTCATTCGGGATCTCCGAATCCTGTACGCACGCGCATTAACACATTTGCCGCATGCACTCGAAAAGGGAAAGCTTGGAGTGCGCGACCATTTAGTTTATAGGGGAGTTTGTTATTGTGGATTTATGCCTTTTTCGGCTCAATGGCGAAGTTCATTACGAGGAGATATAGTGATCCAGCATTCGTTAAAGCTCTTAGAGAAGGCATATTAAAGATCGCCTCACAAAAACAGTGTCCAAATGAGGATCGAATAGTGCGCGCTTTACAGAACGAATACGAGTGGACCAAAGCTGATATACTGAAACAGCTCAAATTGGCTGTAAAAGATGGCTTTTTACACCAAGTAACGGCGATTTCAAGCCATGGAAGTACTAAAGGGATCCCTCAAACTGCTTACCGGGTTCGTTCTAATGAACTAGACGAGGTAAGCGCTCAAAGAAAAATTTATTTTGTTTGAGTCACGAAATCAATCGGAAGTGAAACCAGTCGAGGGCTGTTGTCATTGTTTTTACAAACCTAATCTCTTCATATTAAACCTCTTAAACTTAGAAATCCTAGTTTGCCAATGATTTCTAAGGATTCAAGAAACCTTTAAGTTCACGGAATAGACTCGAGGCCTTTTGTATAAAGATTAAGACTTGAAAGTATGCAAATTACTGTCGCTCTTAGACACGGGCTGTTGAGATCTCGCTCAAAAGAATTTTGAATTCACGATTCTTTTATTACGCTTTCATCAAATAATTATTGTGAAGAAGTAGATGGACATTTTATGTAATAACAAGGTTTCGTTAACTTATATTGAAGACGAAAGGACGAATATGTATATATTTATGTATAGGCTTACAGTACTTATTTCAATAACTGATACATAAAATACCCTTTTTTGTCTGCATGCTCGAGAACTCTTTTATAAATATTAATTGTTTGTCAAGCTCCTTGAGTTGCGCATTTTCCGACAGTCAAATTTAATTCATGTGGCAGTGTTATGTACAGGCTATAGTTGTAATTCAATTATCGAGCATGCAATTTATAAACATCTGGCTTGTGCTTCAGCTATACCAAACAATAAAACCAAGCTTGTCTTTCCTTCTTTAGTGAGGAAACAGAATCAACCCAGAACTTTATTACTGTTCATTACAATCCATTGTTCAGAATAAAACCATGATAGTTTTTAGAATTTCCCAATGATGTACACATTTCATTTAGATTTTGCTTCAACTGCACATTTGGTGTTTGTACCACAATATATATGTTTCCAAGTTGTAATTAACCCACAAAACATTACTGTATGTAAAAAACATATTGCGGAAGAAAAATTGGTGTCTTCTTTATTTCCAAATCTTTTTCACTCCTACTTGACATTACTTCATCCAAGATATGGTTTTATTTATTTTGATGATCAACCATAAAGCAAAATAGTAAATTTTTTTCTACAACGTACAGAACAGTATTGAAGTAAATGTGCATTTCTCTTCAAACCTTCTGCAACTTTTTCCTCAAAACATAAATGTTTTCTGGAACTTCATACCCTGAACCTTGAAGATTCCAATCCCCCTCCATGTGGGAGGTATGGATTTTTAATGGTACTACAAAATATAAGCTCCTCAGACACTCCCCACTCCTTAGGAGATTCCAATCCCCCTCCATGGGGGAGATATGAATATTTTATGGTACTACAAAATATACCCTCCTCAGACACTCCCCACTCCTTAAGAGATTCCAATAACTATCTATGGGGAGGATGGATATTTTTTGAAACTATACGATGTATCCTCCTCAGACCCTTCCCAAACCTATGGAACCTATATGAAATTCCAATCACCCTCTGTGAGGAAAATACACAACAGACCATGGAAATTCCAATCCCCTTGCATGAGGGCTTGAATATTTCCTGCAAATATTGATATATGATTTTTGTCTTTAGACACTCAGAAATAAAGAAAGCCATGACTGGTACTGTTGGATGTGTCATAATCCTGGAGAGGTTATCCTCTGCGACTACTGTCCACGTGTGTTCCATAGAAGATGTGCGCATGACGGCACAGTATCTGGAGGCAAATGGAAATGCTCATCATGTCAGGTATTAACCTAACCTCACACTACCAACCTCACTACTGAAGTTTTATTTTGATTTTGAACTTTAGAGTTAAGAAATATCCATAAACTGTATTAATATGATTATAAATACTACACTCACTCTACTTATACTACAGTTAGTTATACTTGCAATATCATTGGTTTATACATCGTATATGGCTTGATATAGAATAAGAACTGCAGAGATGGACACAGTCTGCTTGTTCACTGGGCATAATTTCTTTGAGCAATTTCTGTACTTCTAGTACCCATTCTTAAAAGCTGGTTTGAGCATTTGAAACAACGTTCTTCAGTAATTCTTATCTTCAAATCAACTTGTCCTCTCTTGTAAATCTTCCTTATCAGAAATTTTGACATCATCATTGCACTTTCTCTACCAAGTCATTAGCTTTTAGTACATTATATTTATTTTAGTTTTTTACTATTTTTCAGCCTCAGAAACTTCCACCTCTCATGAACAGCAAGACGCCAGAAGAGTTGGCCAAGATGTTGATTTTTACTATGGACAGAATGAAAGAAAAGGTATATTTAAATCTGTCTGATTTCACTTGAGCTTTTCATGCCCTATTAAACTAATTAAATGCTTCAATTTAAAGGCCAAAGATTTCTTAAAACCCATCGATACAGAGGAATATGAAGATTATCTTGAGTATATTTTTAAGCCATTGGATCTTAGTTTACTTGAAAAGGTAAGTCTCATGAGAGGCATGTGAGGTATCCAACAGCAAGTTTAATGGCCAGTTCTTTACATAGACCTTCATATCATTATTCTCATGTTCATACATGTAATATTATGCAACCCAGACAACTGGCTGTATTTCAAAATTTCTGAATTAGTTTTTGGCTTCCATCAATAAATTTTTCAACAGTCTAATTTAATATTTTTATGATTGACAAAAGCCAAAAACCCAGATGTCTTGGAACGTTTTGGTTGAATAATTATAAAAATGAGTATACTGCCATGCTGTAAATAGGTATTATTCTAGTAAACTATGCAGTGTGAACATTCTTGTTGAGGTGATAGTCACACACTGATTGATTCAAAGGATGATGTCAGTTCTGTGCGATTGCAGTGACTATGGTAAGCACCTCACATTAATGCAAAACCCTTCCCCTAGGGCATCATATTGAAGCTATATTTTGATGGTATGTCTTCGTTATTAATATTAGAGAGTGACACAGAAGTGTTTCAAGACCCCAAAAGAGTTTCGTGAAGAAGCACAGTGGATGCTACACAATTCAATTATCTATTTTGGAGGTACTTTATGCATAACATTCCTTACTGTTACAGCACTCTTATCCCTAAAAGACCCTTACTATTCAAGAGAAGATATGTTAATAAAAAATTTTTGCGAATCACAAGGTAGTGATAAGGCCCCAAACAATTTATTCAGAAGTTGGTTTGTTTTGGAGGGTAGAAGCTAGAGAACCTGGAGAAAAACCCTCAAAATAGGAAAGAATCTAAACTACTAAAATCTACTTGCATGTAATGGTTGCTCAAAGCATCAAACTCATGACCACAGCAGCAAGAGAGGCCAGGAAACACCACTAAACATGGTTCCCTTCATTACCGTTTGTTTGCTTTTTTTGAGGGATTCTTTGCAAAATGATTGCATTTTCCATCTGCAGAGGATGCAGACATGACAGATTTAGCAGAAGCAATAATGGAGGATTGTGATGGGGAGGTAAAGTAACTGCAAGTACTGCATCTTTTCTTGCATTGCTCCAGAACACAGTTGCTAATAGTTGAGCTTTAATCACATGATATATGATTAAAACTGAAGCACTAATAATATTAAAGAAAAAAGAAAAAAATTGTATTAGTCTCTAGTTGTGAGTGTCAAAGGTGTTTTTTTTTTTTGTGTGTTTTGTTTTCCAGCTGGAAGAGATGGTACGATGTCCTGACTGTTATCTCATGTCTAACATCAGAACAAATAATTGGTTCACCAAGCCATGTGTAAGCCACAAACACTAACAATGAATAGATCCCTTTCAAAATTATCTTGAATGCAAGGCTAGCAGGAAAATGCAAAAAGATGCACAAATTCCACCAAGGAAAAGTCTTGAATTTTGTTGTACAGTATTTTCTTGTTAGCCTTGCCACTAAGATACATTTTATCTAAAAATCATAAATAAGTTTAACATCCCATTGCTGATAAGCATAAGGCCCATAATTTCATTTCAAGATTTCAGATGCCTTTTAGAAGGACTTACACTATTTACATAAAAATGATAATAATGCCATGCAATTACTCACCACCGTCCTTGACTCAATGACCAAGGGCTTAGGATTTGTAACAAAATAGATTTAATTTGACCCCATTTTCTTGTAACAATATAAATTTGATTTGGCCCCATTTTCTTGTAACAATATAAATTTAATTTGACCCCATTTTCTTATCTTTTTTAGTATTTTCCTCATGAGTTAGTTTGGGCTAAAATGACAGGCGAGCCTCCATGGCCAGCAAAGCTTCTTTCATGGGACGAAGATAAAAGCAAAGCCCTTGTGCGGTTCTTTGGTACTGCGCATCAGAGAGCATGGGTGGCTTCAAAAAATATCACACCCATAACACAGAAACCTGAGGTGAAGAAAAGACCACAGAGATGGATGCAGGCTATTGATGAAATGAAATTATATCAACGACAACTGAATCAGTTGGAGAATAACATGAATACAGTCAAGGTATCCATTACTAACAAATATTAGCATGAATATCTCACCATACGGTGCTCTTTGGAATAATTGTGAATCAAGGATGGTGTCACAATAGCACATTTACGTCTGACTTCTCACATCAGTAGGGATTGTTAGATCTCTACCTTGATTAGATGAGTGTCTGGTTTTCTTCCCTCAACAAAACCTACATGTAACGTGCTAAATTTCAAATAGATCTGTCAGTTAACCGTGCCCTGACTTAGATCAGTCATTACAGGGTTCGATCTGTGAGTTAGCCATGCCCTGACTTAGATCAACCCAGAGGTTGTTTCAGGGTTCTATCTGTGAGTTAGCCAAGCCCTGACTTAGATCAGCCCAGAGGTTGTTTCAGGGTTCTATCTGTGAGTTAGCCAAGACCTGACTTAGAGAGAATAAGAGAAAAATATCAAATGCCCTTGGCAGGATTCGAACCCACGTCTTCGGTATTCTAGTCCGATGTGTTAACCACTACACTACAAGGACCAACCACGCTGGTAACGCAGCCAGAATATGAAATGTAGGGTATTCGTGAGGATCCCAGAGCGATATTTTTTCTCTATAGATAAGTTGAACACCGTAAATATGTACGCAAAGAATAGACCTGACTTAGATCAGCCCAGAGGTTGTTTCAG